TCCTCATCTGTAATATTGTAGCTTTCCAGTTTTTGTTGTTGTTGCTGTTGTTTTGATGTTTTTTTTAGTTGTAGGTGGACACAATACCTTTTATTTATTTGTATGTGGTTCTGACGATCGAACCCAGTACCTTGCATGTGCTAGGCAAACGCTCTGTCATTGAGCCACAGCCCATGGCTTTCCAGATTTAACACTTAATGTTATGGCAACCTCAGGTGGTGCTGACACCTTTAGAAGTCCTGAGTCCCTGGAATACAGAACCTCAGGTTCTTCACTTTGCTGTTTCAACCTGGAGGACAGGCAGAACTTGACATGAGAAGCCATGGCCAAGAACCTGAGTAAAATCAGAGGCACCCTTCCTTCACCCCACTCTCAGGCTTTAAGGTTCATGGGAGAGGGGAGAGAAGGGCCCCCAAACAGATTACAGGCTGGGACAAGCACTTCCCTTCCCTACAACTCGTCTGGGCAGCAAATCCTAAGGAAAGCTAAAATATTCCTGAATGATGCTGAGCCCCCAAACAGTCAATGATCACCAAGCACACAAGGTGACACCTCACAATGAGCCATCCAGTCTACACTTAAGGCAGAAGAACCTTATGTGTAAGCCTCTTTCAGAAAGAAAGTGAAGGGGGCTGGGGCTGCAGCTCAGTGGCAGAGCACTTGCCTAGCATGTGTGAGGCACTGGTTCGATTCTCAGCACCACATAAATAAATAAAGACGTGTTTCCATCTATATATGTATGATTTTTTTAATTGATTGATTTTTAAATTATTTTTTAAAAGAAGAAAGTGAAGGCCGAGTGGCATAGAGTCAAGGCCTGGGGACAAAGAATCTGGACAACAGACCAAGACATCTGGTAGAATTGAGCTAGTTCTTATGAAGGCTCATCCAGAACATAAAACACTAATCTGCAGGGAAACACTCATCGCAAATACTCCTCCTCCCAGGAAACAGCTGTCGCTTTACCCCTTCCCCATTTCCCCCACTGAAGAGAAAGGAACAGGGCCGCAGACCACTCAGAACCCAAATGAAGGAGAGAATGTTGTGTGGTTCATGGGGGGGACAGCATTTGTTTGGAGCCAACAGAAGTAGCAAAATAGCCCTGAAGAGTCAATGATGTCAGGTCCAGCACGACACCTGGCAGTCCCAGGACTCCACCGTGAGTGCAAGAAGGGTGACCCAGGCGGTCTTCTCCAGGTTCCCACCCAAGAGGAAAGAGAGCTGGTGGTATTCAGACTGGCTTTGAGATTGCAAGCTGAGACAGAAGGTGGTCCCCTCCCAACTGGGGAGGAAAGAGAGTGGGAGGATTGTTGTCCCATGTGAATGGGAGACCAATCCCCGGCTGCAAAAGGCTGAGCAGAGGTGGGCTGGCCTCAGCTGGCTCCACCCCACCTACCACAGAAGCACTTGCGAAATCCCTCTTAGCCTGTCACTAGCCTGTCACGGGTCAGTATTCCAGCTCAAGGACTTTACCCTCTTGTCCCCACTCCTGGTCATTGCTCTCTCGAATGAAATCAGAGGTAAGCACTGACAATAAAGGAGCTTCAGCTCCACCTTACCCCTCCTGCCCAGAATCACTCACGGACACACGCACATTCCAGGCCTCAGCACACAAGGGCACTGCCCCTTCCCCCTCCACCTTAGCCAGAATAAATATTTAATTAGTTCAAGAGATGGAACCCTTTTGAACTGAACAAAATTAAATATAACTTCCCACAGCAGAACTTTCTACACACATATACATGCAATTTTTCACAAAGAAAAATAGAAAAATCAAAGGACGGACAAGGATAAAAACTTGAGAACGGACATGCAGAATCACAAAGTATGTTTGAACACCTTCGCCTCCCCTCTTCCTTCCCACCTTCTTTTGTTTTGCTCAGCCTGACTGGAGGTGGGGAACTGTAACTGACCCAGTCATCTGCTCTTTTTTTTTTGAGAGAGAGAATTTTTTTTTTAATATTTATTTTTTAGTTTTTGGCAGACACAACATCTTTGTTTGTATGTAGGGCGTAGTGCTGAGGATTGAACCCGGGCCGCACGCATGCCAGGCGAGTGCGCTGCCACTTGAGCCACATCCCCAGTCCCAATCTGCTGTCTCTTGAGGCCCAATTTTTCCATAAATTAAAGCCCAGGGAACAGGCAAGCTTCCACTCTGAACCTCATCTCCATCCCAGTCAGTGGAAACTGGCAAAGGTGGGTCTCTGGTCGGGGTGTTTGAGGGGTAAGGGTTCAGAGGGCTAGCTAGGGACCTGGAGTGAGCCCCTTCTCCTGGACTCCTGGGGCCCAGGAATGTCTTGCACCTGTCTGATCCCTACAAAGATGAGCTGGGGAGGGAGGCACCACAGGTGTCAGAGAACCTACAAAGTGTACCCACTTCAGCTCAAGACAAGACAGCACCCACATTCTTCCACCCCAGGCATGGAGGGTAAAAGACAGGTGTGTGAGAGAGTATGTCAGGAGTTCCGAGATGCAGATTAATGGGGCTCTCTCTCGCAGGCTTTCTGTGATCACAGCCCTCCCATGCTGTCCTTCACTTCCATTAGCCTAGAAGCACTACCCCTCCCAGCGGGGAGAGGTGCGAGGTTCAGCAGTGGGTTCAGGGGGTTAGGACTTCTGGCTCCACAGGAGGCAAAGGATGACAAGTGGGGCTCCTAGCTGCCCCACCTACACTCCCCCCGCAGAGCCAAGCAGCCCGTCTGTTCCCGGTGGCAAGCCTAGCAGCTTCCTGGCACCTGTACATCAAGCCAAACAAGGAATCCCATAAACAAGAGGCCAGGGCAAGAAAAGGTCAAGGTACAGGGAAGACCCTGCCTTTTGGCCCCCTCAGCCCTCAGGGCAGATACTTGATTTTCTGGCAGAGAAAATCACACCCTTTTCGACCTACAGAAATTACACCCCCACACGGGGCGCAGTGGTGCACACCTATAATCCCAGTGGCTCAGGAGGCCTAGACAGGAGGATCACGAGTTCAAAGCCAGCCTCAGCAAGGCTGGGGATGTGGCTCAGTGGTCAAGTGCCCCTGAGTTCAATCCCTGGTACCCTCAAAAAAGAAATAGATTACATCCCCCATATGAAGAGAGATGGAGTGGGTGAGCATGTGTGTGTCTCCCTTACACCACACACCTGCCTCAGAGACACAAATGCTCTGCAAGCTGGAGAGGGGCCAGTGGGGCAGGGGCTTCAAGTATCAGGTTACCTTGAACATGAGCAGTGTTCTGCTGAGCCCCGATCTCCACCCACCTCTGTCTGACCACCCCCCCAAGACTCCTGTAGGTGGATGAAAAGAGTAGGGGGACTCCATGGGAGCTGACAGAGCAGAAATTTAGCCTGTGAGAAAAGAATTCTCACAGACTCAATGTAATAACAGTCCCACTGGCTCTCAGAGTTTGGTAAAATAACTAAGGAAAATACAAAGGGGCCCTAAGAGTCAGAGAGTGTGAAAAAGGGTCTTGCAAAGCCTAGGAACTACAAAAACATGGCATGCTGGTGAGGTGGTGCATGCCTGGTAATCCCAGCAACTCAGGAGGCTGAGGCAGGAGGATCACAAGTTCAAAACAGCCACAGTAACTAAGCAACTGAGTGAGACCCTATCTCAAAATAAAAAAATAAAAAGGGTTGGGAATGTGGCTCAGAGGTTAAGTGCCCCTGGGTTCAATCCTTGGCGCGCGCACACACACAAAGAGCCATGCAAGAAGTCCTGAATAGTCTTCCTTGTTGAAAACTTTCCTTCCAGGCAGCAGGTCTCAAACTGAACTAGAAGGCTGCAAGCAATGTGTGAGTGAAGAAGAGGTGTGTCATGAATCCAACAGCAGCACAGGCCCAGAAAGTTGGGTCAAATTCTGGGAAAGATGGGGGTGAGAGGCAGAAAAACAGCTTGGGTCCTCAGGCTCATCTGGCCTACAGCTTGACAGGGATGTCAATCCAAAAGTCCCCAGGGCCAGCTTGTGAAGAGGCAGCTGAGGGTAGGGATGGGGGCCTGATTTACAGAGAAAGCCAGCCTGACCAGTGGCTGGACAATGAGGAGGCCCTACCTTTCAGGGTGAAATTTGGCCAGAGGCCGCAGTTAGTCGAAGAGTAGGCTGTGGGATGCCAGGAGAGAAAAGGCTCGCTCTGTCTGGAAAGCGTCTATACAGGTCTCTGTATGGTCAGAGCCAGGTCCGAAGGGACAGGGATCACAGGTGCAGTCGGCCACTCACACTCAGGCCCAGTCGCCTCAACTCTGGTGTTGAGCAGAGGGCCCACAAGCCCCTGCTGGAACCCAGACAGGGTGACTGCTTGCTGCAGGCCTTCCCTCCTCCTTCCCTCCTGGGCGCTCTGGGGAGAGAGGCCCTCAGCGCCTGGGGACTCACGGAGCTCTGAGACCTCGGCGGCCAGGGGATGAAAGCAGGTATTGATGTCCGGAGCCTGGCACGGGGAGAGAGGAACTCGCCAGCTCGGCCAGAGATTAAGGCCACACACCTGCAGTCAACCCACTTTGCCAGAGGGCCTCGGAGCCAATAATTAGCAAGTTACGGCCCAGAAAGCCAGTTTCTCTGGCTGCTCCCCGCCAGCCACACACCCCATAACGGTCTGGGCGCCTGGGCCCCGGGGGCCCGGGACGGCGCCCGGAGCCGCTCCTTCCTGCTTCCCGTTAAGCACATGGACGCTCGGGGCTCTCCCGCGGTGGGCTCAGTGGGCCGGTAATTAGAAGGGGCAGCCGGATCCTGCTCTGCCCCGCAGTCCTGCCACGGGGGCGCGAGCAGCCGGGGGCGCCACCGCGGCTCGGGGCTTCCGCGCGAAGGTCACCGAGCCTCTCCGCTCCCCAACAAAGGGGCGCGGTGGCCCCTGGGCGCCGGGGGCCCCACGGCCCAGCCCCTTCCTGCTGCCCAGCAGGGCTCCCCGGCCCGGGGCGGCGCGGGGAGCGCCGGGGGACCAGGCCGGGCTGGCCGGGCGGCGCTGGGGGCCCCGCGGCTCGGAGACGCGCCGACCCGCCCTCCCGCCGCCCGCCGCCCGCCGCCATGAGCGCCGGCAGGGCCCCCGGCGGCGACCTCCGCGCACGGCCGCCCTGGGGAGGCCTGTCCTCGGCCGACCCGCGGCCCCCGGCCGGGCCCCTCGGCGAGCACGTCCGCGGCCCCTTCCCGCCCGCGCCCGGGCGCCGACTCACTCGCCGCGGCGTCGCGGAGCTGGCCCAGCGGGCGCCGCTGCTCCGTCCCCTCGTCCGAGTCGGGCCTCCGCGCCCTCGGCCCGCGCCGCGCTCCCCCTTCCGCCGCCGGCCCGCTCCTCCTCCTTCCTCCTCCTCCTGCCGCCGCGCCCAGCGCGGGGAAGGGAGGCCGCGGCCGCCGGGAGCTGGAGACTGGGCGTGGGCCTCGCGAGGGAAGGGCCTCGGGCGGGGCCCGCGGAGCGTGCGCGGCGAGCGGCCTCCGGACACCCGCGGCTCTGCGGCCGCGAGAGCGGAGCGCGCTGGGCCCGGGACCGGCCCACGAGCTGCCCGAGTACCGGGGGCGGTGGCGCCCTGGCCGGCCGCGCTCGCCCCCACCGCGGTTTGCGCCCAGCCCCTCGGGGCCACTGCCGCCCTCCCACGACGGTCCCCGGGCCGCGCCGGGCGGGACGCCTCTCGGGCGCGCCCGGGCAGCAGCCCCCCGACTGCCCCCAGTAAGAGGCGCGCGCTGCACCCCGCGCCGTGGCGCTGCCTGGGTGGCAGCACCCCTTCCCGCACGCACGCCCTACTGCGGGAGAGGGCAGAGAGACACCCTCCGGCTGGCTTGTGAAATGTCGTGCGCCACGTCCACGCGTGTCCGATCCCCCGTGGAAACATCCCTTAAACAGCCCGGTGGAACCTCGTCTCACAGGGGCCCGACCTTGAACCCGGCGCGCCTGCTGCCTGAGGGGGTGCTGGGGGGGATGCGCCCAGAGCTGCAGGCCAGGCCGACTTCCGACCTTCCACTTGCCCCTCGCAGTGAGACCACCTGCCCAGGCTACCAGGCAAGAAAAGGGGACACTGGATCGGTCCCCGGCGGGACCCTGCGGGCTTTTCCAGCCACTGCCGGCCTGATTTTTCCCAGTTCCCAGCAAGCTCTGGTCCTGTTTTCCTATGCCCCTGGTCTGAACTCCTCTCTTTCTAGGACATCTTCAACAGTATCTTTCTTCCCACTTGTTACTCTCCTTTCCTGAGCCTTCCAATTCCTCGGTTCTCTTTCTCCAGTGCAGTCCCTAGAGTACTTACCCGCCACATGCCCACACTAGGTGATCCACAGGGTTCCAGTGTCTAAGCCCCCAGGCCCCTGGGCTACTTGTCTCCCCTCTTTTCTCAGAGGATTTTCCTAGGTTCCATGCTTTCCCATATTCACCACCAGACTTTTAAAAGCCTTCCTCAGGGGGACATTTAACTGTCCTGGTTAGTCTTTATTTATTTATTTATTTTTCCTAAGATAGCAGTGGAGCGGGGCTGGGGTTGTAGCTCAGTGGTAGAGCACTTGCCTAGCATGTGTAAGGCCATGGTTCCATCCCCACCACTCAAAACAAAATTATATACATGAGTATATGTTTATATGTGCAAATTATTTATATAACCGTATATATGTAAATTACATAAATACTTATAAATCTGTAAATTCATACAGAGTATTTGTGTGTGTGTGTATGAAAAGTGAGCAGTGGGGAGAGGAAGTTTTAGGGCAGAAGTTGGATAATGAAAGCCTGAGAAATAAAGATAAGAAGATATACCCCTCCCCTGGGACACAAAGGAGAAAGTCAAGGGAGGAGGGGAAACTTGGCCTCAGCCAGGATTGGGAGGATGCTACACTGCCCTGCCTTGACTGGACACGATTATGATCACTACCCTTCCAACCCAACCCCCACCACAGGCTGGTATGCCACACCCACAGTGCCCCAAGGGAGGCCTGCCTTGTCATGACTCACTTCCTCTATGTGGGCTGCTGAGGTGTCCCAAGGCAGAGGACAAGCCACCAGGCCAGAGTTTGGGTATCTAAGAGAGCTTCTGGAACGGGAGAATCCATGGAGCTCAATTGTGAAAGGTGGGTGTGTCCAGGACAGGGCAGCAATACAACACAGAAGTAGGGAGTAGAGTCTGCCTAGTATCGGGTATCTGATCACACTCAGGTGCCAGGAGCTATAGGGAAAAGTTTCCTAACAAGAAGTAAAATAGCCAAGCTGTGTGCAGTGGTGCATGCCTGTAATCCCAGCGGCTGGGGAGGCTGAGGCAGGAGGCTTGTGAGTTCAAAGCCAACTTCAGCAAAAGTGAGGCACCAAGCACTCAGTGAGACCCTGTCTCTAAATAAAATACAAAAAAGGGCTGGGGGTGTGGCTTAGTAGTCCAGTGCCCCTGAGTTCAATCCCTGGTAACACCCCCCCCCCAAAAAAAAAGAGGTAAAATAGCCAAAAGGGATCGATTGCTCTGTATTCTGAAATAATGCAATGCAAAATATTGGCAGAAAAGCAATATGGGGCTTGGAGGTTTGAAGCACTGTTCATGAGGCAACTATTACTGCTTTCCCCCTCCCTGTATTCCACTAAGAGGGACAGCAAATCAGACATACTAACATCAAAGGATGAAGACAACACTGAAAGAGAGTTAGGAGACCTGGATTTTGGTTCCAATGTCATGGCCTTGGGAAGTCTGGCCCTCCTGGAATCAGTAACAAAAGATGGCAGATTAGATCACCACTAAGATGTCCTCCAACCCTGAAATCCTAAAATTTAGAACATAGAGTTAGGTCTCCTGCCATACCACCCTGAACATGGGCTCTCATCTGATCCCAGAAGCTAAGCAGGGTCCTGGTTAGTAAATGGGTGGAAGAACATGGAAGTGGAAGGTGAATGGTAAATCTAAAAGCAACCTCAGTCTAGCCTGGGTGTTGATCAAAACAAAACTCAGGAAGGAAACTCAGCAAGAATCCACCAAAGTTTCAGCAGAGATGCTGTAAATGCACTCACCTTCACCCCACATACACTCCTCCCACAAGGACATGGCCTTTGCCTTGTGGACTTCTGTGTGCCTTCTCCAAATTGAGTTTAGCCTTGCAGGTCTACCAGGAGTCCTTTGAAGAGGTTGGCACTGGGCAAGACAGGTGCCCTCACTCTCTCTTCCTTTCCCTCTAAGCCTGCGTGGCATGAGTAGCCAGAAGAGATTCTGAAGGGTTCCAAGAGCTGAGGACATGGGGACCCTGGCTGTGGAAGTGTTGTACTGTGATCACCCAGTCTAACTGAGGTAACCTGGTATGCCCAGTAGTCTGTCTCATCTGAGAGCAGTGAGGCTCTTCCCCTGACCCCACCTGTCCATCAAGCCCACCCAGAAACCTCAGGCCCTCGGGAGGTTTCTTCTCTCAGTAAGTGACTGAGAGACTCTTGTCTGGAAGTGGAGCCAGGGACCTCAAGTGGCAACTAGTGGACTCCGCAGACTCCCAATGGTTGCTAATGCCCTCTTGTGGTCATCTTTGGAAATGGCAAGGAAGAAATTGCCAAAGAGCCAAGGTTGGATTTCTTAGGGATACAAGTAATAACAGTTATCATTACAAAATAATATTGTAACAGTACTTATTGTTATATATTAGTTAACAGTTAATATTTTTGTAGTACTATGGATAGAGCCCAGGGCTCTCTACCACTAAGCTACATCCCCAGCATTATTTGTATTTAGTTAATTCTAACAACAATCTGCAATATAAACAATATTTTTTGTTCTCTCTCTCTCTCTGTCCTGGGAATTGAACCCTGGGGGAAGCGGGGGCCGGCTCAGCTGCTCAACCACTGAGCCACATCCCCAGCCCCTCTTTCTTTCTTTCTTTCTTTCTTTCTTTCTTTTAGATAGGGTCTCTCTGAGTTGCCTAGGGTCTCACTAAGTTGCTGAGGCTGATTTTGAACTTGTGATCCTTCTGCCCCACCCTCCCAAATTGCTGAGATTATAGGAGTGCAGTACCCACCTGGTTTATCTCTGTTTTGAGGACAGAAAAGTTAAGCTAATTACCCAGCAGGAGAATTTGAGGCCAGCCTGACCCTGTCTCAAAATAAAAAACAAAAGACCTATGGATGTGGTTCAATCCCAAGTGTGTGTGTGTGTGTGTGTGTATTTTTATTATTTTTTTTATTTTTTGCTTTTCCTGTCATGCCAAAACTGAGTTCCATATGTCAGGTTGTCAGGTAAAATACAGGACATGAAGTTGAATTATAATTTTACTTTTATTTTTTGGTACCAGGGATTGAACTCAGGGCACTGGACCACTGAGCCACATCCCAGCTATTTTGTGTTTTATTTAGAGACAGAGTCTTGCTGAATTGCTTAGGGCATCCATAAATTGCTGAGGCTGGTGATCCTCCTGTCTCAGTCTCCTGAGCTGCTGGGATTACAGGCATGCACCACCATGCCTGGCTTGGATTATAATTATAATTATAATTTCAGGTAAACAATAAATAATTTGTTAACATAAGTATATTATCTGAAATATTTGGGTAATGCTTCTGTGAACGAATTATTCATTGTTTATCTGAAACTCTAATTTACCTGGCTGTCCTGTATTTGCATTTACTTACTCTGACTCCTCTTATTAACAAGGCACGGCGCCACTTTCTATCATTACCTTATTTATCCCTCCCAGGAAGCTGATCTTCAGATGCCTCCCCACTGCCCCCACCAGTGTCTTCTGCTATTCCCATTTAGAGAGCTGAAGTGACTCCCTAAAGTTACAGAATAAAACAAGTGGCGGGATTGGGACTGGAGCCAGGCACCGTGGCACAAGCCTGTAATTCCAGCAGCTCAGGAGCCTGAGTCAGGATGATCTCAAGTTCAAAGCCAGCCTCATCAATTTAGTAGGACCCTTTTTCAAAATTTTAAAAATGGGCTGCGGATGTGACTCAGTGGTTAAGCACCCCTGAGTTCAATCCTCAATACCAAAAGAAAAAAAGAAAAGAAAAGAATTGGGACTTAAACCCACATTCTCTAACCCTAAAACTGGTGCATATTTTCCACTTTGTTGTGGCCTCAGGGATTGATCCCAGGGGTATTCTACCACTAAAGACATCCTCCTCATTGTTTTGTTTGTTCTAATTAGTTACACATGACAGCAGAATGCATTTCAACTCTTTGTATACAATTGAGCACAACTTTTCATTTCTCTGGTTGTACACCCCATCTTTTTTTTTTTTTTTTAAGTTGTAGATGGACAGAATACCTTTATTTTATTTATTTTCATGTGGTGCTGAGGACCAAACCCAGGGCCTCACACGTGCCAGGCAGTGCTCTACCACTGAGCCCTTACAGCCGCAGCCTCCCCCTCCGCCCAGCCAATCTTGATTTTTACTTTGAGACAGGTCTCACCAAGTTGCCCAGGCTGGCTGGCCTCGAACTTTTGGGATCTCACTGCCTTGGCCTCCTGAGTCACTGGGGTTGTAGAGGTGAGTGACTGTGACTGGCTGTGTTTTCCACTTCAACAGGAGAGAGAAGTGGGGGAGTGCCACCAGGGAAATCTTCCTTCATGGTGTGAAGCACTCTATCAGTGGGGGCCGTCCTGAGCCGGGAGAGTGGCCGGCCGAGTGGAGTACTATGGATAGAGCCCAGGGCTGGGCCCAGCCCCAACTGCTATCTCCAGGAAGCAGGGAAGAGACTGCTCCCAGGCCCAAGGGAGTCAGCTGTGCGGCTGGAGCAACTCCTCAGGGACCCAGAGGCTGGAAAAGACTGTTCACCTGCTGCTCTGCGCACTGACAGCCTGGAGCCCGCTGCCTGCTGGGGTTGCATCATCTGCAGCTCAATAAGGTCAGAAAGCCCTGGCGGCCAGAAGTCAGCAGAAGGAGTCAAAGAAAGTGGGGCCCAGGGAGTCTCCTCCTCCTCCACGGTGCCTTGGGGAGCATGACGTTTCTGTCTCCAGGGAACACCCTTTGCATTTTTCTCTCCTGACTCTGTACATCTGCTCCCACCCCAGAATACCTGGGCCATTCCTTCACAGATATAAAAACCCCTCCTATCTTCCCACCCAGACCAACTGGCTTTAAAAAGGCAGCAGCGGTCAGGGGAGTTTCCGGGCTGGGACCCCTTCTGGGGTGCAGGCTGGGGTGTCCTGATGGCATGTGCCCCAACAGGTTTTTCTCTATCAACCTTGAAATCAGCCTGGAGCCTGCTGGACCTGCCCCCCCAGGGAGCTGGAGCCAGAGGCAGAGCCAGGTCAGAAGCTGGACTTGGACTGGGCTTCTGTGGTCCCATCTGGCCCCACAGGGAAAGCAATGCACAAAGCCTCCTGTGTCTTTGGCTGAGCTGTTGAGAGGCTGAGCGGAGTTGCTTGTGTGGGTGAAGGCCCGGTGCCTAGGAGGAGAGATGCTGGGCAGGGAGGTGTTTACAGGGAGATAGGCAGCGAGAGCTGGTCTCCCACGTCTGGGAGGGGCTACAGCCCCAGACAACAGCTGGGTTGGTCTGCAGTAGATGTCATCTGACCGGCTGTTCAGCCTGGGATGCCCACGCCCCCTCTCCTCTACCAGGCTACACAGAAGCTGGGGTGCCCACACAGGCAGGAAGGCCACCAGGCCAGAAGGACACCTAGCACCTTTGGGTAAGTCCTGGACCTGGGCCTTCAGCTGAAGGAGGGGACCTTGTTGACTGCTTGAGGGAGGTAGGAATGTTTTCCTTTCCCAATCTCAGAGTGCCTGCTCCCTAGTCCAGGTACCCATGTCCCCACAAGGACACATACTTCAAATCAAAGTCTGTACCTGGTGACCTAAAGATTCCAGAGTGAGATTCACAGGGTAAAGGGCAGAAAAGCTGGTAGGCAGCTTTGAAGGTGCTGATGGGGGTGCAATTAGGAAGGAATCCCACCCGTGCACTCAATAGTGCCACCTCACCTCAACTGCCCTCCACTCCCCCAGGAGAATCCAGCCAGACCATGGGGAAGGGACATGGGCCTCAGAAGGAGGCATTGTCCAGACCAAGGATTAAGGAACCTTGGGTCCAACTCTGGAGTCAAGGGAGGGTCTCATCAGTGCTGGTTCCAGCAGTCTCTCTGGTCTTGCTTCCTCAAGGAAGAGGGAAAGGGGAGGAAGGTGGGGGCTTTCCTCTTACCCCTCCCCCACCACTCCGGTCCAGGCTCACACACCTGCTAAGCAGATTAATTTTTTTTTTTTTTCCTGCAGTGAGTGGCCCAGGCTGTAGGTTGAGGGTCATCCAGAGCCCAGGTGGGCCTCAGTTTGCTCCTGTTTCCTTCCCTAGGGCGTCCTATCCTGTTGTACCATGTCTGCGAGCAGCAGGGAGATGGGACCTTCTCTGACCCCGGAGATCCTTAGCCACCTGGGCCTTGCCAATAAGGTAGGAGAGGTGTGGGCCACCATGTCTGCCTGGGGATGGTCTTTAATGTATCAACTCAGGGGCTGTGGGAAGATGGGACAAAGTGGAGAGTAGGGCCTGTCCTGGGCACTGGGGAGGGGCAGAGGCAGACAGGGGATTTCCACTCCTAATCACTCCATGCTCTTGCAGACTGCAGCTTGGGGGACCCTGGGCACACTCAGGACCTTCTTGAGCTTCAGTGTGGACAAAGATGTACAGAGGCTACTGAAAGCCATTACAGGCCAAGGTGAGCCCTTTCCCTCTGCACTTGGGGTTCTTTTAGAAGCCGATCTATGGACCAAGAAGGAGCCAGGAAGGAGGAACTAACAAAGTTCAAGAAACGTTTGTGAAATACTTTAATTCCTGTGTGTCAAGTACCATACCCTGGTAGGTGTGTCCTACCCATTCTCAACACCCTGGGAGGGAAGTCTTATTCTTTCCATTTTACAGATGAGGAACTAAGGTTCAAAGAGGTTAAGAGCCCTGCCCAAGGGCATGTAGCTCTTAACAGTGGAGCTAAGGTTCTAAACTGAGCTGGCCAATCCCAAAAAGCATTTTTTTTTTTTTTAAACTACCACATGGGGCCACCTAAATTTGTATCAGGGGCTGGGGATATAGCTCAGTGGGTAGAGTGCTTGCTTCCCATGGATAAGGCCTTGGGTTCAATCCCCAGCATTGTAAAACAACAATGACAAAAAAAAAAAACAACTAAATTTGTATCAGATTTACATGCTGCTTTGGCATTTTATTTGTATCCGTTTTTTAATTATTTATTTTTTAGTTTTAGGTGGACACAATATCTTTATTTTATTTCTATGTGGTGCTGAGGATCAAACCCAGTGCCTCACGCATGCTGGGCAAGCGCTTTACCACTGAGCCACCACCCCAGCCCCAATTTGTTATCTTTTGAAAAAAAATTTTTTTTTTAAATTTTTAGTTGTAGATGGACACAATATCTTTATTTGATTTTTTTATTTTTATGTGATTGTGGGGATTAAACCCAGTGCCTTACACATGCTAGGTAAGTTCTCTGCTGCAACCTACAACCAGCTACAACCCCAGCCCCTGCATCTTCTTTTGAGATCAAGTGGACATATGGGTGATGCAGCCCTTGCTTCTTCCCTTCCCAGCCCTTCCTTAGACCTTGTTCTCTCCTCTAGAGAGTGTGGGGACCCCAGCCCTGTGAAGGTCCTCATGCCCAGGTGCATGCTTGTGATCCCAAATACCTGGAAGACTTGAGACAGGAAGGTTTCAAGTACGAGGCCAGTCTCACCAATTTAGTGAGACTCTGTCTCAAAATAAAAAAATAAAAAGGGCTGGGGATGTAGTTAAGTGGTAGAGTGCCCGGGATTCAATCTCTGGTACAAAAAGTAAATTAATATATTTTTAAAAATAGGGCTGAGGGGCTGGGACTGGGGCTCAGCGGTAGAGTACTCGTCTAGCACGTGCAAGGCCCTGAGTTCGGTCCTCAGCACCACATATAAATAAATAAAATAAAGGTATTGTGTCCAGCTACAACTAAAATAAAAAAAATAAAAAAAAAAAGGACTGGGGTTGTGGCTCAAGTGGGAGAGCACTCACCTGGTGTCTGGTATAAATAAAGACCTTGGTGACAGCCTCCCTTTGGTTCAGGTGTGGATCGTGGTGCCATTGTGGACGTGCTAACCAATCGGAGCAGAGAGCAAAGGCAGCTTATTTCTAGAGCCTTCCAGGAGCGTACCCAACAGGTGAGACGGCACTGACTCCCCCGGAACAGTGGCCCCAGGGAGGACCCACACAGCAATGGCAGCCCAGCCTCCTGGCTTCCAGGGGTGGTGCTTCAGGTCTGAGAGGAAAGCCAGCTATGTCTTCCCAAACCCGCCCACACCTCCGGGGCCTCCCCGACCCCATGTCTCTGCTGTGGGCACCATTTACTGTAGGACCTGCTGAAGTCCTTGCAGGCGGCACTCTCTGGGAACCTGGAGAAGATTGTGGTGGCCCTGCTGCAGCCTGCAGCCCAATTTGATGCCCAGGAACTGAGGACAGCCTTGAAGGTACCGAAAAGGACACTTGTGAAGAATGTCAGGGAATTAAAGACACCACTGAGGGAAGGACAGGGCCATCTGCCTGGCCTTTGTCCACTCCAGAGGGTGGATTTGGAGGCCCCTCTTATGATTCATCATTGACCCTTGGATGGAGAGATGGCCAGCACCTGCCCTCTGCCCCTGTTAGTCTGCCATCCTCATGACATGGCCTAGTCTGAGTGGCCTCCCAATTTCTTGTAGGCCTCAGATTCTGCGGAGGATGTAACCATGGAAATTCTTGCTACCCGAACCCCACCTCGGCTGCAGGAGTGCCTGGCAGCCTACGGGCACCGTAAGAACATGGGAGGGTCCCAAGAACTGGACAGTGACTGCAGGACAATCCACTTCTACCATGAACCATCTGAAAGCCTAACTGTCCGAGTTTTGTTCCCTTAGGCCTCCCCTCCCTCTCACACCCCTACTCTGCTGCCAGTGCCTCAGTCTCCCCAGGAGAAAGAACCAGATGTGACCAGGAAAGACAAGTGATGATTAACCATTTAGTCTGGGGCTCCAGGGCAGATTCCAAAATAATGACAACTTTAGGCACTGTAACAATCCCCATGGCACCCCTGTCACCCTCCTAGCCCCTTGCTGTCCCTGCCATAACACCACCCCCGCTAGCTGAGTGCAGCCTTGGTGTAGCCTGGGGTTAAGATGGGAACTTGCTCTCTAAGTGATAGGTGTCACCTCTCCCAGTCGCTTGCCCCGTTTGGTGTCCCCTGCCTCACCCACTAATTTGTAAAAGCTTTTCCCATCTGCATCTTACCACCACCACCCATTGTTTTGCTGTCCCCAGTTTTCCTTTGATGTCTAGTCTTGTGTTCTTACTGCCTCTTCAGACTCTTGCTCCCTGCCCCGGTGTGTGCTAGGTGAGCACTCTGTCACCACACTTCGTCCCCAGCCCTTGTTGGCCTCATTTCCCTTCCTTCTCCCTTTCCCGCTCTTTCCCTGCTTTGCATCCTGCCTCGCACACCATCTTTTCCTCATCTCCAGCTGTCACTGGAGGGCCAGGCCCTAGCCCTCTTGTTTCACAGTAAGGTGTCCTTTTCCCTCTTCCAGGCTGGCCACCACTCATAATGAGTAGATGCCTCCTGCCTGGCAGGTGGTGCTCAGATTGAAGTCAGCGCCCAGCTCACGGCCTAGGGAGACCGTCAGAGTGGTCAGGATGGCATTTTTGCCTGACATTTTGAGAACAAGAAGGCATCAAGCTACTATAAGCAGGAGATGGCAGGGCACAGGGGGTCAGCAATTTGACAGGCACTGTGGCTGTCTACACTGGGGAATATCAGCAGGAACCAAGAGCTCCTGTCTCCACCCCAGATTTCCAGGTGGAGGCTGAGGACGACATCAAGTCTAAGACCAGTGGCATCTTGCGGGACCTGCTCCTGGCCCTGGCCAAGGTGAGGAGGAATTACACTCATCAGGTCAGGGACAGGCAAGTGCAGGAAGCACTGTGTCATGTGATGGACAGGAGAGCACCTTAAGGAGGCCAAGGTTTGGCTTCTCAGTCTGAAGATCAAAAGCTGCCTCTCAAGATGGGTGCAGGGGCCCCTGCCTCTAATCCCAGCAACTCAGGAGGCCGAAGCAAGAGGATCCTGAGTTTGCAACCAGCCTCTCTAACTTGGCAAGACTCTCTCTCAAAACAAAAAATAAAAAAGGTTGGGGACATAGCTCAGCGGTAAAGTACCTCTGGGTTTAATCTTCAGGCACAAAGAAAACAAAAACAAACACCTGCCTCTCAAAGAGCCTTCTGAGAACACTTTCTCCTCTAGGGGGGCCGGGAGAGCTACTCTGGAATTATTGACTACAATCTGGCAGAGCAGGATGTCCAGGTGAGCAGGGCCGAGGGGTTTTCAGGGCCATGCGGTGAGTCCCTTCACCACTGGGTCTTGGAGCCTGGGACCTGGGACCCACTTGGGGAGGCGCCTGGGACACGGTAGCAAGAGCCTCTTCCCTCGTTTTGACTCTGCCTCCCAGTCCCCTCTCCTGGGCATTTGGGTGAGGGATTATTTAATTCCTTAAAGATCAGGATTTTTCCAACTCAGGGAACAGAGTTGTGAGGGCCCCTCTCTTAGCCCGGTTTCTTTCTTTTTTAAAAACCATAAATAGGACAATGAATTTATAATTTAAAAATCACCTTTTCCATCCTTAATCCCATCTCCTTCGTGGTACATTCTGGGAACATCCTGACGGTGGCTCCGCTGACCCCTCCAATGACCTGATGCACTCCTGCTGATCCTTCCCCCTCCCAGGCGCTGCGGCAGGATGAAGGGCGCAGCACCCAGGGGCCATGGGTCCTAATCCTCACCCAGCGCAACCCCAAACACCTCACCCGAGGTAGGCAGGGGCCTTGTCATCCCCGGCTGCCCTGACCGTGGGCTGGGGGTGTTGGGGGTCCCCCCACCAGCCCCTTTCTGACTTCCCACGCATGCCCAGTGTTTGAGCAGTACCAGCGGCGCACGGGGCAGGAGCTGGAGGAGGCCGTGCGCACCCGTTTCCGTGGAGACGCCCGGGCCGCCCTGCTCAGCCTAGGTAGGGAGTGTCCGTGTGTGCCGCGGGGCCTCTGCTGGGCTGGGCTGGGCTGGGCTGGGCCCCCCTGAGCTCCTCCGTCCCCCTGTTGGCTTCCAGCCTCGGTGATCAGGAACACGCCGCTGTACTTTGCTGACAAACTCCACCGAGCCCTCCAGGTGAGAAGTGCGCTCTTTCCTCCCTTTCCACAAAATCTGGGGAGACTCTCCCTGCCAGCTGTTAAGGTGACAGTCTCACATTAACTTTATAACTCTACAGGGGTGTCTTCTCCTGTGTCTACACACTGTCTCATTAAAGGCAGAAGAGAAGGCTGCAGTTAGAACTAAGTTAATTGACCCATAAGAGCACTAAAGCTAAGGTTTTGGCCTCATTAATCACCAGGTGATGGATTTCTTTCATATATATATATATATATATATATATATATATATATATATATATATATAGTTGTAGATGGACACAATTCCTTTATTTTGTTTATTTCTATGTGGAGCCAGGGATCAAACACCAGTGCTTCACGCGTGCTTGGCAAGTGTTCTACCCCTGAGCCACAGCCCCACCCCTGATGAATTTACAGACAGTGACTTCCTTGTCCAGTATCCACTGTTGTCAGAGGTGATGAAGATAACACTAGCAAGAATAAGAGCCAGCATTTCATAGGTGCTTATTGGGTGCCAGAGCCTATCCTGAGTATATAACACACATTTCAATGAATCCCCACAACCATACTCCATCCTTATTCTATACGTGAAAAAACAAAAGAGGTTAAGTACCTTGCCTAAAGTCACACAGCTAGTAAATCATACAGTCTCCCTATAAAACACTGAATGATATCAGACATTTACTGTCCTGTGTCAATACTTTGTCAGTGATAAGTGCTCTTAGCATCCAGGACCCCCTTTCTCTACACTGGTCAGATTTTGTTCCATATTATTAATGGTGACGTTGGTTGGAGTAATTCCACAACAAAATCTACTCATTCTGCACAAATGAACTAGTTCTCCTATAAAAACTGTCCCCCAAAACCTGCATATAAAATGTTTGCACTGGGTGCAATGGCTCACGCTTAGCTTATAATTCCAGTAACTCAGGAGGCTGTGGCAGAAGGGTGGCAAGTTTGAGGCCAGTCTGGGCAGCTTGGTACTGTCTCAACATAAAAAATAAAGGGCTTGGGGATATAGCTCAGCAGTTGGTAGAGCATCCCTACAAAGTAGGGGTTAACAAAAATCACCAAGTTGGAAAAAATGTGAAATGTGAAAAAGATAAAAGAGTTCTCGTTTTTTTCCAGGCATGGTGGCACACACCTGCAATCCTAGCAGCTCAGGACACTGAGGCAGGAGGATGGCAAGTTCAAAGCCAGCCTCATCAACTTAGCTAGGCCCTAAGCAACTTAGTGAGACCCTGTCTCAAAATAAAACAAAAAAGACTGAGGAGGTGGCTCAATGATTAAAAACCACTGGGTTCAATTCCTGTTACCTAATAATAATAATAGTAGTAGTAATAGTAGTAGTAGTAATAGTAATAACTCTCATTTTGGTAGATGAAATAGCTTTCTGTATACTGGTTTAGAAGTTATCATGCCTTGTTGATGACTACTCAAAATATAGTCAAACACTTGCTCTTTTATCGAGAGATTTCCGTCTCGACAGGAAATTATTATACTTGACCAAGAAAGCCTGGATCATTATGAGTCAACAGCAAGATTCATTTGAAGAGCTATGGTTAGCTGTCTAAAATTTTTGTTAAAGCAACAAACTTGTGGGCTGGGGCCATAGCTCTATGACAGAGCACTTGCCAGCATGCACAAGGCAGTGGGTTCAATCCCCACCACCACACCGCCCCCAACAAACAAACAGTAAATTATAGTCCATTTGAATTACAGGACCCACATTTTTTAATGTAAATACAAGATTTATCTCAGGATTCTGAAAAGAGTACATGTCCATTTTTCTGTAAAAATTTTAAAGCATCTTGAAAGTTTTGCTTTTATTTTTGTGGGGTTGGGGATTGAACTCAGGTAGGCAAGCACTGGATCACTGAGCTACATTCCCAGTCCTTCTGTAAAAATTTAAAAGGAAAAAATTCATTCAGAATAACCTTGTACTTTCTTTCTCCCAGTATAGGAGATTGAAACCAAGACCTGTGTTTCCTAGGCAAGTGCTCTACCATTGAGCTACATTCCCAATCCTTTTTTAATTTTTAAAAAGTTGAGACAGGGTCTCACTAAATTGCTGAGGATGAACTAAAACTTGTGATTCTCTGCCTCAACCTCCCCAGGAACTGGGATTATAAGGTATGTGTCACTGCTCCCAGTTCTAGTAATTTTTTTTTTTAAAATTAGAGATATGTGGAAACATAGACTGTAAAGAATGTTTATTCAGAAAAATGACCTTCAGCAAAGACTGATTTGAGGCTCATTTGGACCAATCTGAACTTAAAAATTAATATTCACAATGACAGTCCTGGGGGATTATGGAATGCCAAGTCTACTCTCAAGTATCAAGTGTAAAGAACACTTGTACACCAAAGAAAATATTTAGTTAAGGAGTGTTTCTTGGTCCAGTTCAACAATTTTGGAGGGACAAAAATTGGAAGAAGGGAAAAATGGATAGTAGAGAGCAACTGACAATCTTTAAGACAATATAAAATAAAGTTAAAATGAAGTAGCCATCAGGTCCACTGATAATTTAAAAATGAGTCCAAATGAAATACAGCATCATGTTTTCTTTTTCTTTTTCTGGTGCCTGGTATTGAACCCGGGTGCACTGAACCACTGAGCCACTTCCCCAGCCCTTTTATAAACAAACAAACAAATTATATATATATATATATATACACACACACACACACACACATATGGGTACACCATTTGTATGGGTACACCATAACCACACAGAACGTGGGGTTCATTTTGCCATCTTTGTACATGTGCATAGCCTAATTTGATCAATCTCATTTTTCATTACCTTTCCTTTCCCTCCCCTCGCCCCAGGGAGCCTTTTCTAGCCTCCCTGATGGACCCTTTGGAGCTGCTCACCACCCAGCTGTGGGGGAGTGGGGCTGTAAACTAGTGGCAGGGCCAGGAAAGACATAGGGGAGGAAGGAGAGAAGTATTCATGCTGCCCCCTCAGGGGCTGAATGAGGATGAACAAAGATGACTTCTGCCCCTGCAATAATGTCTACCTCTCTTTTTCCAGGATTCTACCTTACCTCTACTTCCTAAAATAACACTTCCTGCAGTTCAACCCTCTTTTTCCTTTCTTTTCTTTTTTTTTTTTTTGGGGGGGGGGATACTGGGGATTAAACCCAGGGGTGCTTTTACCACTGAGCTACATCCCCAGTCCTTTTTAGTTTTTGAGACAGAGTCTCACTAAGTTGCTAAGGGCCTCACTAAGTTGCTGAGGCTGGCCTCAGACTTGTGTTCCTCCTATCTCAGACTCCTGAGTTGCTGGGAGACAAAAGGTGTGCACCACTTCTTGCTCAATCCCTTCTCTTGTGTGTATCTTACAGACTACTCCTTCCCCATCTGTTTCTTCTTTCACCAGGAGTCTGAGCCCAATTACCAAGTCCTGATGCGCATCCTTATCTCTCGAAGTGAGACTGACCTTCTAAGCATCCGAGCTGAGTTCAAGAAGAAATTTGGAAAGTCCCTCTATTCTTCTCTCCAGGTGAAATTTGGCTAGTTCTTAACCTGGAGCCTTGGAGTTTCATTCCTCACTGATACCCATCTTTCCTGCTCACAGCAGAGCATATTCTTCCCTTATAGATCTCATGAGCAATTAGTTCATTGAGTGCAAGACTCCAAGCATCAGGGAGGATCTTTCCCTCCTGGATGAGCTATGGACCAGCAGGAGGGAGGGATCAGAATGCTTGGTCCATGGAATGGTGGTGAGTCTTTCTAACATTTGACTTCCTTGTCTGCAGGATGCTGTCACAGGGGATTGCCGGTCAGCCCTTCTGGCCCTGTGCAGAGCTGAAGACATTTGAGGCCTCCCTTCCCCCGACCTCCATGTGACCTTCAAGGATCTGAGATGCCTATGTTTGGCTAAGCCTGCAGGAGACCAGCTGGGCCTCTAAATAGGATGACCCTTCATGGTGCCCCGCATACCAAGCTTCTTGTTAAGGCTGAACTGTATCTTTTAAATCCCTAATTTCTTTCATTTCAAAATGGTTTCTTTACCTGGGTCCTCTAGCTCTGTCCTGGAAGAAGGGTAATGGGATTTCTTTGATAGTTTCTATCCCACTCATCTTTCTCATACCCTGGCCAGAACATCTCTCTGGTACTCCAATTCTTTTTGGCAAACTTTACTGTTGTTTGTGTTCTCTGACTGAACTTTGGGTGGAGCAGGACACAGACCAGGAAGACGCCTTGGAGCTGACGCACCTTTGAAGTGCACTTGGCTATTCAATGAGAATCCTGTTTTTGCCCCCGTGTTGCAGTTATTAACATGTTCCACCCACCATGTCTACCCTCACATTCATTATTCTCCCTATCCCAGGAAATTCAGGCAAATTAATTGAGGAACAAGCACAAGAATGAGGTCAGAAATGGTTGGAGGTAGCAAAGGACCATTTGTGAGAAGTGGGAAGAAAGCAAAGGGTTAAACTGCCCTCCCAACCCTGGGAAGTCTTGGTAACTTCTCAAATTCCCAGCTCCAGTTCATCTGTCCAAGCAGGGATCTTGAAAACCAGGCCTTTCTCTTGGAACACCTATGACGGCGTCAACAGGAGGAGGAAAAAGGCAGGCTTGGGTTCCCCCTGCTGGCTCTGTTAGAAACCACAGGCAGCCTCCTTCTCCCTCTCCCCGCGGGCTTTGCATTCCTCAATTGGGTCAAATACTTAACCCCATGGCTGCAGGGGAAGCCAAACAACATCTCAGGAAAGAATTTTATTTCCAAACCTCTAGGAAGGCATTACAAATAACAGACATAGAAAGCCAAATCAAACCCTGAAGCAAAAGGAGACAGGCCTGCAGGGTAGGGAGGAGGGAGAAAGGTGCAGCCCAGATAGGCCCTCACCCTGTAGCCTGAGTCTGTGTGTTCATGTGATTATTCCCGGAAAGGGAGTTAGGAATCAGACATCTTCACCCTGCCCATCCCAGTGTTGCCCTGGGAGGAAGAGAGGCAGCAGCACATGAGGGCAGGGACATTACCGAGTTTGACCTTGGTATTTACTACTGCCTGCTCTGACCCCCAACAGTCCATAAATAAGCTACCCCATGTATCTCAGGGGTTGAGATGGGGGAGCAGCGGGCAGAGCTATAGCAGAGTGCAGTCCGACTCCTGCTTCGGCCTCTGTCGGCGCTCCCCGGCTGGGCGTCCTGACGTGGTGGCTCCTCTCCCCTGTGCGGGATTTAACATTGGGTCATCCAACAACTTTGGAGGAGTAGAGGACTGAGATTCAAGGGGTTAGGGGGTCGGGATCAGGAGGGACTACAGGGAGAGAAAAACAGGAAGGGGTTCCAGGAAGAGGGTCCAGCAGGAGAAGGGTCCCAAGGGACACCTAGAAGAGACCAGTGCAGAAACAACAAGTGAACTGGACAAGGCACAGCGGGTGGTCTGGCCCCACTAAGGAAAGGTGACAGGGGCTTACCTGGGGTGACAGGGCCCGCATCTGCGCAGGCTGGACTGGTTGCTGCTGTTGATACTCCTCTTGCTGAAGTTGCTGGGCCAGCTCCAGGTCACTAAGGCCCAGCATTCCTTGTGGCTGCTGCTGCTGTTGCAAGGACAAGGCCATCAGGTAATCCTAGAAAGAATAAGAGTTCCCAGGTGGGCGAAGGCTGGCAGGGAAGGAGACTCAGGCAAGGTTTCCAAACTAGGCTTTCCTTCAAATTCTCCAACTTCTCTCCCTCCAGGGGAAAACACAGCCAGTTGTACCCCTGGTGCCAGAAAATGCACAGCAAACAAGGAGATGATCTGAAGGTAGCAGAGTGGAGGGGCATGGGTGTTAGGGATGTGGCCTTGACACAATAAATCACACGTGGCTCTTACAGCAAAAAACTCTGTGAGGCAGAGGAGCTCTGGGCACCTTCCCCAAAGGCCCACACACCTGGTCTACCTGCAGCTGCTTCTCTGGGGAGCTACCCCCACCTTGTGCTTCAGGGCCCTTGCCGAGGGAATGACTTAGGTGGAAGTCAGAGTCACAGAAGCAGCTGTCTCCGTCCACGTTGTGCAGGCTCTCCCATACCACTTGCTCCTCCTGTAGAAAACCCTGGTCAGTGACCAGTAGGTACAAATGACTCTGCAAAGAAAAGGACAGCCAACTGGTGGGATAAGTGACACAGAGGCAATTTACTTCTCAACATTACCTGAGATGCACAGACCACTTGAATTAACTGATGTGCTGGCTGGAACTCCACAGTGTTAGCCTACGGAATACACGCACAGTATGGAGAGGGAAGGGATGTCTGAGTGTATGTCCAGGTGAAGTTGGGTATAAGTATAGTGGTGATTTTGGTCAAGTGTAGAATCCTTAAGGTTGGGATAAAACCCAAGACCATGCTTTTCACCCTATTTCTTATGGTCCTCTGGTCTCTTTTGATGGCGGTGGGAATAAATTCTTTGGGAACCAGAGACCCCTCTTCTACTGAACTCTTAGAGAGCTTCGGCAATTTTTAACTCTCAAAGACTGTGGTGGTGTTAAAAATTTCCACTGCCCCTTTCTGGGAGAGGATTATAGCTTCCTGTTCCACTGATGGTGGACTTATCCTTTATGGCTTTGTCTGGCCTCTGAGATATGAGCAGAAATGACCATTTCTGGGCAGAAGCACTAACAGTGAGTGTACAACAATGTTCCTCTCTCTTTCCCTGCATATATTTCAGATTAAGGCTCTTTGGTCAGCCTGGTCCTAGAGTGAAGATGGAATGGGTCAGAATGTAGCCAATCTTCATTAGGCATACACATAGTATGAGTGAGAAAAAAACATTTGTTGTGGTAAACCACAAGGATTTCAGTGATATTTGTTACTGCAGCTTAACTCACCTTATCCTGACTGACCCAGAAGAAACAGACCCAGAAGAAAAAGGCATGGGGAAACCACAGCACCCCAACCCTCCAACACCTCCAAACCCTTATCACCTTGTGCTTAGTCATAGTGCTAAAGTGGTTGTTGCGGAAAAAGACACTAAGTTCACCCTCCTTGGCAGCCGCTGTAAGCTCACACAGGCCATGGTAGGTCAGCTGTGCTGCAGTGGTCTCCAGGAACTGCTCTGCAATCAAGCCTACCAGAAGGCATAAGATGGGAGAAATTTGGCTTACATCCAAAGTCCATGATTAAAAGGAAAAAAAAAGACCGGGCATATAGCTCAGCTCTGTGGTAAAACACTTGCCTAGTGTGTAGGAGGCTGTGGGTTCAACCCCCTGCACCATCAAAAAATAAATGAAACAAAATGAAGTCCAAGATAGGAAGGATCATCCAAAGAGTACCTGTCAAAAGTCCTTCTGAATCTGACTTTCTAAAATCCCTTGTCAGGGGTGGTGGTACATGCCTATAATCCCAGCTACTCAGGAGGCTAAAGCAGGAGGATCACAAGTTTGAGGATAGCCTCAGCAATTCAGCGAGACCCTGTCTCAAAGTAAAATATAAAAAAGGCTGAAGATGTGGCTAGTGGTTAAGCAACCCTGGGTTCAATCCCTGATGTAAAACAAAAACAAACAAAAAACCCCCAAGGTGTGTTGACTCAAATATTTATAGGGACTAGGCAGAAAAGAGGCAAAACTACTAAATGTCAAGCCAGGGAGAACTTGGTTCATCTTATCCAAAGAGGCAGCCACAATTCATCACCCACTGATTGTGGCTATGACAAGTAGGTACCACCATTGTCAGATGTGATATCTACACAGAAGCTACAAATCCAGATTACAAAAAAAAAAAAAAAGAAAGAAAATCAGCTGATTAAAAACAACAACAAAAAAAGGGCTAGGTGTAGTGGCACACACCTGTAGTAATCCCAGTGACTCAGGAGGTGGAGGCAAGAGTATTCTAAGTTTGAAGCCAGCCTCAGCAGCTTGATAAGGCCCTCAGCAATTTATTGTTGAGACCCTCAAAATAAAAAATAAAAAGGGCTCAAGATATAGCCCAGTAGTACCAGTAGTAGAGCACTCCTGGGTTCAATCCTCAGTGGTACAAATAAATAAATAAATAAGGCTGGGGGTGAACCTCAGTGGTAGAGTGCCCTGGGTTCAGTCCCCACTGCCTTAAAAAAAAAAAAAAAAAAAAGAAAGAAAGAAAGGAAAATGATATTGAGCAGCTACCTCATGTGAGGCACTACACTAAGCCCAGGAGGCCGCGGAGAGGGAAGATGTATCCCTGCATTAAACAGACAAATTTCCCAAACTTTCTCTTAGGGAGCTTACACTCTAGTGGGAGAATGGCAGGAGACAATAAACAATGAACCTAAGCAGCTATTCTACCCTTCGCATAAGATCCATGAGGGAGGAGGGATGTCACCTTCTGTCACGAGGTTGGGGTCACTGGAGTGTTTGCAGGTGATGATCTTCTCTACTAGCTGGTTGTAACTCAGTTTCCCAACTGCGCTCACAGCCTCGGGACTCTGCACATGTGGGGAGTAGGGTGGGGAGTGAGAAAGAATGTTGAATTTATTTAAGGAAGGAAAGGAAGCCCACAAGGACTAGGACCTTATGATCAAGGTGTTCTGTTTGGGGACCAGGATTGAACCCAGGATCTTTTAACAACTAAGTCATTTTTTTAAAATGTTTTTTTAGTTGTAGGTGGACACAATACCTTTATTTTTATTTATTTATTTTTATGTGGTTGGTGCTGAGGATTGAACCCAGTGCCCCACACATGCTAGGCAAGTGCTCTACCACTGAGCTACAACCCCAGCCCACCACTGAGCCATTTCCTAAAAAAAATTTCTTTCAAAAGTTTTTATTTGTTATTTTTAGTTATACATGATGGTAGAATGTATTTTGACATATTATACATACATGGAGTATAACTTCCTATTCTTGTGGTCTTACATGATGTGGAGGTACACTGGTCGTTTATTCACATATGAACATAGGAAAGTAATGTCTGATTCATTCTACTGTCTTTCCTATTCCCATCCCCTCTCCCTTCCCTTCATTCCCCTTTGTCTAATCCAAAGTACTTCTATTATTCTCTCCCCTCCCCCTTATTGCACATCAGAGAGAACGAACGAACATTAGGTCTTTGTTTTTTGGGACAGGCTTCTTTCACTTAGCATGATAGTCTCTAGTTCCATCCATTTATGAAATGCCATAATTTCATTTTTCTTTATGGCTGAGTAATACTCCATTGTGTATATATACCACATTTTCTTTATCCATTCATCTGTTGAAAGGCACATAGTTTGGTTTCATAGCTTAGCTATCATGAATTGAGCTGCTATAAACATTGATGTGGCCATGTTGCAACAGTATGCTGATTTTAAGTCCTTTGGATATATTCTAAGGAGTGGGATAACTTAGGCAAATGGTGATTCCATTCCAAGTTTTCTGAGGAATCTCCATACTGCCTTCCACAGTGGTTGCACCAATTTGCAGTCCCACCAGCAATGAATGAATGTACCTTTCCTACCACATCCTCCTAACATTGTTTTCTTTTGAAACAGGGTCTCACTCAATCCTTAGGGCCTGGCTAAGTTGCTGAGGCTGGCTCTGAACTTGAGATCCTCCTGCCTCAGGCTCCCAAGTCACTGGGATTACAGGTGTGTGCTACTGCACTTAGAGCATCAGTTCCTGAACATTTTTTTCTTTTTAATATATATATATATATATATATTTTTAGTAGTCAATGGACCTTTATTTTATTTATTTATATGTGGTGCTGAGAATCAAACCCAGTGCCTCACACATGGTAGGCAAGTGCTCGACCCCTGAGCCACAACCGCAGCCCAGTTCCTCAATTTTTGATGTTTAAAGAACTGATTCTAGGGCTGGGGATGTGGCTCAAGAGGTAGCGCGCTCGCCTGGTATGTGTGTGGCCCGGGTTCGATCCTCAGCACCACATACAAACAAAGATGTTGTGTCCGCCAAAAACTAAAAAATAAATAATAAAAAAATTCTCTCTCTCTCTCTCTCTCATTCTCTCTTTAAAAAAAAAAAAAGAAAGAAAGAACTGATTCTATGGGGCTGGGGATGTGACTCAGCGGTAGAGCACTCGCCTTCATGTGTGCGGCCCTGGGTTCGATCCTCAGCACCACATATAAATAAATAAATACATAAATAAAGGTATTGTGTCTAAATACAACATATATATATATATATATATATATATATATATATATATATAATTAAAAAAAAACTGTTTCTGGGCTGGGTTTGTGCTCAGGGGTAGAGCACTTGCCTGGTGTGTGTGATACACTGGGTTTGATTCTTAGTACCACATATAAATAAATAAATAGATAGATAAATAAATAAATAAATAAAATAAAGGTCCACTGACAACTTAAAAAAAAAATACATATAGGGGCTGGGGATATGGCTCAAGTAGTAGCGCGCTTGCCTGGCATGCGTGAGGCACTGGGTTCGATCCTCAGCACCACATAAAAATAAAATAAAGATATTGTGTCCACCTAAAGCTAAAAAAGAAATAAATTAAAAAAAATACATACATGTTAAAAAAAGAATGATCCTATTTGCATATTTGCATATGGTTTGCTTGTACTAGAATGCTACCCCTACCAGAAAAAAAAAAAAGGCTAAAATTCAAGAAATTCAGTCTCCAAATTCTACTCCCCTCCCAAGCCAATCTAACTCCTACCCCGGGCACCCAACCCACAACATTTTGCCTCACTCAGGTCAGCTCCAGCGAGGTAAAGGACTCAGGGGGGCTTCCACCATCACCTGTGGATCAACAAGCCAGCCATGGTACAGAGGTATGCCTAGTAGGTCAAAGACACTGCATTCGGGTGTATACTCAAAGTCAGAGACTCCTGTGAATCGCACATTGACATCAAGACCGGTGGCCAGCTTTGGCAGCACTGTCATTGCATCGTCCACATTCTGGGGATTGAAAAAAAAAATGATGAACAGCCTAGCCTCCTTTCCCACTCCCACGTCCAGAAAAAAACAAACAAAAAAACACTTGTTGCTTTTCTTCCCTAACATTCTTACAAGCCATTCTATTCCTCCCCTGATTCAATCCTTCTTTATCTTATATAAATGAAATCTTTTCCAGGATAGAGATATAACATCCTCTCTTATACCTGCAGAAGGAAGCACAGTTCAAAGAGCCCTCTTAAGATGCAGCAAACAGCTTCTCTCGATAGTTCCAGTCAGTGTCCCCTTCCAAACCACAAAACCCCTAAGTCTCCGGACTTCTTGCCTTACCTGCTGAAAATTAAGCTGAAGTCCCTCTGATTTTCCTTGAGGTTGGATGGACAAGAGGCAGTTTCCTATAAGACAGGATACTTTATCAACCTACCCCACCACTTGTCCTAAAGGCTCAGCTTCCTCTTTTCCTGGAGAATGTGGATAATGTCACAGAACCACAAATTTTTAGAACTGGAAAGGTCCTTAGAGTCTAATTCAGACCTTTCATTTCTCAGAGGAAGAAACAGGCTTATAAATGGGAAGGACCTACTCAAGTTCACATTCAAAACCTAAGGGCAGAAACGGGGGGAATAGCTCACTGGTACAGCACTTGCCTAGCATGCTCAAGCCCCTGGGTTTGATCCCCAGAACTGTAAAAAAGAAAAGAAAAAGGCTAAGAGCAGAATTGGTATTATAACTCAAGATTCCTGACTTTTTTTTTTTAATATGGGGATTGAACCCAAGGGAGCTTAACCATGGAACTACCTCCCCAGAAGTTTTTATTTTATTTTTTTATTTTGAAACAGGATCTCATTAAGTTGCTGAGGCTTGCCTCACACATCCTCCTGCCTCAGCTCCCACCCTCAGCCTGGGATCACAGGAATGTACCATTACACTTGGCTCAGGATTCCTGACATCTTGACCTTGGCTTTATCCTCCAGCCTTGCAGAGAAGCCCAGTGACCCTTAGCTTCCCTGCTACGTTAGAACCCAGAATGGGGATCCCTTGGTAGTCTGAATTTCTGGCTGAGGGGATAGCTCTGGAACCCCTTAGGAAATTCCTCATTAAGGCCCAATTACTCACCAAGGTGGGTCAAGAGCTCATCTGATGTGATCACTTCCTTCTGGGGAGACAGCTTCACCTAGGGTAGAAGGAATGATTCTGTATGTGTCTCCCTTTCAGAGCACAAAGGAAGAAACTACAACAGTGGAGAGAGTGCCCTGTGGTATTTAGGGTTGGGAGGAAAAGGTTTGAAACTGGAGCAACAGAATAAATGTGAAATACTACAAGGTCTTCCTATTTGCTGGAGAGACAGGAGTAGTATAGAGAATAATCTGAAAAGTTCAGATTGCTTTGAGAAAATCAGGATGAAAGGGAGGTGGGTCAGGGAAGAGTGTTCCCCCATAATTTCTGAGTTCATGTCAGATTTTCTCTTACCTTCCACTGAAGGAAGAGGATATTCATGATGGCAAGGAGAGGGCAAGGACCATTAGTGCTCTGGGTGATGATGGGTGTCCGTTCTCCCTTCCAGGGGATCCATTTTACACAGTAGAAATCTGGCTCAGTCTGTTGGGTCCTCGGGGACTGGGGAAGCTCCTGGGGCCTGGAGCATGCTCCTAGTGTCTCTGCCTCAGGTGACATGCTACAGGATGGCCCAGGTTGACTTGAGTTAGTTTCAGGAGGAGGGGACTCAAGGTTCTCCCCACTCTGGGTTGGTAACAAAGCTTGGTCTCCTGGCTCTTGTTTTGCAGCTTCCTCATCAGCATCTCTGGTGTCTTGGTCCTGAGGGTACTCATCTGGTCCTGATAGGACCTCCTGGTTTTCAGAGGTGTCTGTTTCTGCATTCCTGGCCTTACCCGAGGACGGATGTTCAGGCTGAGGGTGCTCCATGATGGGAAGGGAGTCAACTGAGGGAAGCTGGGGATGTTTCCTAACCTCAAGGGCTTGCCTATGTCAGTCTTGGTATGCAAAACATAGACCTGTCCAGTAAGAAGAAGATCGTTGAGCCAGAAAGCAAAGCCACCCAGAGAAGTCTTAGAAAATGAATGCTGTATGGAAGGCTGGCTGTGTATCTGCACAGGCACTCCTGGCTACAAGTAGTACATGCCTTTCTCAGCTTGCATAAACAGGACTCAGACTGAGATCTTTCCACTTTTAACTTGTGACCAGATGGAACCAACGGTGGCTTGGGCTTCTAGGCTTGAGAATGATAGTTCTGGAGGGACTGAACACATTAAGTGGAGCCAGCTTCCCTGAAACAGATAATGATAAAGAAAATGGGAGATGTAGCAGAGAAGGAGGAAAATAGATGGAGAAAGAAACGTTAAACTATCCTAATACAGAGGTGTCGTTTCTGTAGGCTAGGGGTGCAGCTCATTGCCTAGCAAGTGTGAAGCCTTGGTTCAGTACCCAGGACTGGAAAAAAAAGGAAAACCAAAACTATCCTAAACAAACCCAATGATCCTAATGGTTATAATATGATAACATTCAGCTAACCTTGTAAAAGGCATCATATCAGTAGCCTGCACAACAGCCAGGACATGGGCAATTCTTCCCTTACACCAAATCCCATCCCTCCATGAAACAACCTGAGCACACACAGGCTGCTTGGATTCTCATGGATACTGTCTCCCTGTGTCACCCCAAAGGTGAAAAGTGACAGGGGTGGAGTGGAGATGCAGTGTCATGCTCCTAAGTGATGTGCTGGTGAGGAAGGGAAGTCTTTCTCCTCAAAGGAGTCTACCAAACCTTACACAAGCACAAACCACAGCAAAAATGTCTTGGGAGGAGCTTCCTGTAGGCTGCAGAGGGGAAATGTAGGTTATAGGGACTTGAATTAGAGAGTGCCTTAGATAAGTAACTTCAAATTGGGGGCAGAAAAAGGACTGCCCCTCACTGCAAATTCTTCCAGTAGCTTCTCTGGACAGTTGGAGTTAACAACTTCCCAGTAGTTCTTTTTTCTCCCAATCTACCTAACCCCAGAGATACTCTCTTGCCCACTATTTATATGGAAAAGAGAAATGCTGATTATTGATTGACTTAAAAAAATACTCCCTACACTGTTACCTACTGGTATATGTTCTTTATGTCTGTTTCCATCTCTGTGCTTTTTGATGTGAAGATTAGGCCTGTTTAACTTGTTCTCTATCAGCACTAAGCATCAAGTCAGGCATAGATAGACATTTAATCAACACTGGGTAACAAAGGGTAAAAAGCCACAAACCCTGGCTTCTAGAAACCATCCCCCTTCAATCTCCTTACTCCCCTCCCTACTCTTTAGTCAGGGGAAAAAAAAAAAAGTAGAAATTAAACAGGTTAAAGATCTTGCCTTTGCCTTTTCTCCAGTTCCCTCCTCTCCTGGGGTTATACTTTTTTTCTTGTAAAGGTGCAGGAATTTGGGGCTAGGAGGAAGGCCTGGCCAATGAGGATGAGGAACGTTAAATTAACTGAAATAAAAATAGGCCTAGTATGAAGATGTGAATTTGGTGTCAACATACCTTATATATAATCAGAGATATGATAAATTATGGTATAATGATGTATTAAGAATTGTAATGCAAAAATAAATAAATAAATAAAAATTTAAAAAAATAAAATAAAAATAAGCCTAGTCATTCAATCATCCTCCTGATTCAAATATAATTCATGTCAGTTGCAATTCATTTACATGTTGTTAATTTACAATCAGAATAGCAAATATTGCCTGTAAAGGCTTTACACATTTTTTTCCCTCTCTCCTTTATTCCTCCCCTCCCACATGGCATTTAAGGTGAGTCTTGAAGTAGATGTCAGACTCAGGGAAAGTTAAAAAAGCTTGAAGAAAACAGGACTCATTTTCTGCCCAGTGCTAGAAATAATCAATAATTACGTGGGGGCTGGGAAGCTGGCTGGCCAGAGGAATGAACCAGGGGAAACCAGGAGCTCAACACCACAGGGAATGGGGACTCTAGGGAAATTGGGCAGAGTTAAGTGGGCTAAGTCCTAAGAGGCAGGGCAGGAAATGTAATGCAGGGTTTCCACCCTCTCAAGGTACACTCCTGGTAGTGAGAGCTTGGAGTATTTCTGAGTAGGAAAGGATGAGGGGGAGGAACGCAAGCAAATCAGGATTTCACCCGTTTTTGTTTGTTCTCTTTTCAGCCCTACACTTTTCCTGCAGCTGAATTAACCTATGGTGGTGGGTGGGGGAGTTAAACAACTCTGGCCCCTCCCTAGTCAGTGTCAGTGCAAGAAACAAAATAGGTAGGTAGCTTCAAGAAGACACCCCAGAAACACACACCACAGGATCTTTCCTCTCCCCTCAAGTACCTTATTGTCCCACACCAATCTCCTCCTGACCCAAATCCTCATGCAATCAATGGTTTCTATTTTCCCTTCATCATCAAACCTTGCCACAGTGTGCTGTCTACTTGCTTCCAAGGAATGGGGAGGGTTTGGCTAGAAGCAGGAGATAAAAGGACCGAGGAGCGCTATTACATGTTCCTCCTGCCTTAGCTCCTGGAGACCACAGATGGGAGGGCAGACAGGTGTCAAGTCCCCCAGCTGAAGAGGGAAAGGAGAGCTGCGGGCTGGAGAGGAGGTGGAGAAGATGGTTAAGACAAAGTTTTACCTTAAAGAAGTGGGTGCAGTTCCAGGACGGAGCAGGAGGGTTCAGCTCTGGCAGTCTGATGGGGGAGGTGGGATCAGCGAGGGGCACCACCAGGCCGGCTGTCCAGAGCTTATACAGGTTGACACAGCTTTACGAGCGTGGCTGGCCGTCCTGGCTGGGTTGTGGCTACTTCCGGACTCACGCCCAGGACTGGGGCACCGCAGTGGGGTGAGGGCAAGCAGGGGCGCAGCCCAGGTGCTCCCGGTGGTGGCTCTGAGTGGCTTCAGGATTCTTGAGAGGCTGAGTCTCCGCGTGCGCACTCCAGGCCCTAACTACAAACTGGTTTTTAAAGGAAGTTTGTGGGTTTTCTTTTTTCCTCTTTCTCTCTCTCTCTCTTTTTCCCACTGGGAGAAAGAAAAATTAGTCAAAGACAAGCTCTCTGGAGGAGGAGGGGTTTGCCCAGCACTGGAGGATTTCCATCAGAGCTTTCTGATCCGGTCAGCAGCTTGGTAATCAGCAAAGAGGGAGAGAGAAACAAGGAGAGAAAAACAACAGACCCTTTCTCTTCCCTTCGCCTGCCGCTGGAAGGGACGGAGCGCTTGTGCCTCTCTGGTGAGAACAGGGAAGAGCAAGTGCCCTAGCTGAGCAGGGAGGAGCAGAGCTGGACAGCAGCAGCTTGTTGGATCTGGGCTTTCTCCCTGTGTGAGATAGTCCTTTGCTCTGGATCCACAGAAGCAGAGCCAAAGAGCATGATATTTGCATGTTAACTCATTTAATGTAAAAAAGGAAAAAAAAAAATCTGCTCCTGTCTCTCTGGGAGCCTTTAGAGGGCTCCTTTCTAGGTCTTCCCTGTATCTTTTTTTTTAACTTCTTTCTTTTTTTTTCTTCCTCCTTCCTCCCTTCCTTTCTTAGTTTAGAAATGACACTGGTTGGGCTGTGCACCTAGTAGTGCACAGAGGCAGCAGGTCCTGGGTGGAGAGGACAGCAGGAGACCCAGTAGAATAAGAGGAGACACAAGGGCCTGTGCGCTGGTTCTTGTTTCCTACAGGCCTCAGCTTCTTAGATGTCACCTCCTCTCATCTTCCAGCTCAGGGAAGAGGAAAAGCTGGGTGAGGCTGGAGGTAGGAAATGAAGACATAGATTAATAAATGAGGGAACAGAGGCAAGTGTGGTGGATCACGCTATAATCCCAGAAAAATGGCAAGTTTGAGGCCAGCCTGGCCAACATAGGCCCTAACCAATAGAGTGAGACCCTGTCTCAAGTCTCAAGATTGAAAACATTTTAAAAGGGCTGGAGATGTGGATTAGTGATAAAGCACCCCTGGGTTCAGTACTTGTTTTTTTATTTTTTTAAAGGAACATTTGATCATGAGGGGAACCTTTTCTTGGCAGTACTCTGCAATACCCTGGGTCTGGAAAGTGGCAGTTATTAAGGGAAGTTGGAACCTCGCTGTAGCTGTACATTCTGAAGGGCCCTCCGAACACAGCAGCCACAGGCTGAGACTCCAGGCAAGTCTGAAAGCCTGAAACAGCAATTGGAACAAGGAGGGAGGCTAGGAGCAGAGAGCCAAGGTTACAACAGTCCACGAAAGGAATGAAATTCTTGTGAAACTGTAGAGTTTTTTTTTTTTTTTTTTGGCAGGGGCGGGTATCGGGGATTAAACTCAGGGACACTAGACCACTGAGCCACATCCCCAGCCCTATTTTATATTTTATTTAGAGACAGGGTCTCACTGAGTTGCTTAGCTCCTGGGCTTTGCTGAGGCTGGCTTTGAACTCCTGATCCTCCTGCCTCAGCCTCCTGAACCGCTGGGATTACAGGCGCGCGCCACCGCGTGGGGTGAGGCTGTAGAGTTTTAAAGGAAGCAGGAGTTGGCAAGACTGTAGGTATTAAGTAAAGAAGAGGTGTCAAAGATTATCCTAGTACTTTTCTAGCATGGACAACCACAAAATCGGCGGCAACGAGTCAATTTGGTGAAAGGGAAAATTTGAGAAAGGAAGATGGAGAGCCGTTTGCCATGTTATAATTTAAAACGTCAGCCAGATGCTTGGTGCGATATGTGGAAAGATACTATACTTAGCCATCTCTGGAAGAGTGAGTTCAGATGCCAAAAGATGAGTGACTATGACGCATACACATTTGTGTGTCAAATCACTTGAGAAAATTCTCCTTCCCTCAATGGTTGGGGGTCATCTCGGAGTTTCTGGACTACGTTTCCCAGGACGTCTTGCGCCAAGCCCCTCCCCTTCCGGAGGGACGTCCCTTGAGTCTCTGGGCGCTGGTGTGGGGGGGGAGGGAGGCGGGGCGGTGTCGGCCTCCGGGATCGCCGGGTTACGCACTTCCTCTCGGGGTCGGAGGCCGAGTCTCTGTTTGGCGGGTTCGAGTCCCGCCTACTGACTCTGGCCTCTGGCCTTTGAGTCCTGGGTGGGGTACACACGCTGGGTAACCGCTCCTCCGCGAGGGGCGGTGGCGCACCTTGGACTTCACCATGGAGGACTACCTGCAGGGTTGTCGAGCTGCTCTGCAGGTAACGGATCCCTGTCTGGCTGAGGAACGAGGATGGGGTCCGGGAAGCGTGGACGTGTAGGGTGTGGAGAGCGCAGACGGGCCGTGTGCGGGGGTCTCCGAGTGGCGAGAGACACCGGGGTCTGGCTGGGCTTGGAGCGTGGGGAGCAAACACCAGCTCATGCAGGAGGCCGCTCCCGGGCCCCGATTCGGGGTCCCTGTCCTTCGCGGCCCGCCAGGAGCGCGGAGCCGAGTCCTGGTCCGGCTCTGGTCGGACTCCTCGGCCTGCTGCCGCCGGGCCGTGCGCCGCCCGCCCGCCCGAGACGAGTGCCAGGGCCTCCCGCCGCTCCGCCCCGCGGGCTGCGGACGCCCGTGCCGGCGGCGTCGGGTGTTGGCTTCCCCCTGTGTAAGCCCGACGTGGGACCCGGCGCGTCGGCTCGGCCGCCCTCTGCCGCGGCGTCTGGCTTAACGTGCGCGAGTCTCGGGAAGCTTGAAGGCGTGGGCCCCAGCACGACTGTGGGACTCCCGGTGGGCGCCTCCGGCCGGTGGGCCCTCCCAGCCCTGTTGACTGCCGTGCCGCCTCAGGCTCTTGTCCCCAGCAGCAGCAAAAAGCTAGCCAGACAGAAACGACCGGCGGTCAGTCACCGGGGCCGCTTTTGAGTCGTACTGCCCCTGGAGAAACACACACACGAGGCTGAGCACGTCTCCCTTGAAGATATCTTTTTTTTTTTTTTTTTGTTGAGGGGTAACCAGGGACTGAACTCTGGGGCACTCGACCACTGAGCCACATCCCAGCCCTATTTTGTATTTTATTTAGAGACAGGGTCTCACTGAGTTGCTTAGCGCCTCGCCATTGCTGAGGCTGGCTCTGAACTTCCATCCTCCTGCCTCAGCCTCCGAGCCGTTGGGATTACAGGCATGTGCCGCCGCGCCTGGCCAAGGTATCTTTAACTCTACAAATTCCCGTGGGAAGTACATTCTGATCTTTAACATACCTAAAAGTCACCCAATTCCTCATGTGGTTTAAATGAATGTTCTCTTATCCTGAATTTTTCCTTGTGAAAAACATATTTGGGAAAAAGTGTTTAAATGCATAAGGCAATTTAGAACCAATTATTACTGGAAGACTGATGCAGAGTTTTTGTGCCACCATTGTAAGTGGATGGTTTTTTTCCTCCAGTAACTCAAATGACTGCTCTCTGCCACTGTTTGACGAAGAGCCTTTGAACCTAAAAACAATTTTTTGCAGGCATCTGCTTTCCGGCATCTCCCTTCCACAGGCCCCTCCCCGCAGCCGTGTATCTCTACAGCATAATAAAGCTGGGAAAAAACTTGTCTCTCCCCAATATTCCTGGTATCCTGGCTTTTCTTTCTCTGCCTTCATCTCCCAAAGAGCAAGATCTAGAGCTTTCTTTCCAAACTTGTGAGCTGTTAAAGGTGAGACTGTATCTTAGAACTGTCAGCGGAGCCAAGCTTGGACAGGTCTTAGAGAAAGGAGAAAATAAGAACAACGGAGAGTAAACTGCTTATTCGACCTACTGGCAGATGCCCGAGGTTTACATTGCTTTTGATTATACTGTACTAAGTACAAAAAGAATACGAAATGAAGAAGATGAAGATCCCTATTCTTCTTTTCTTCCCATCTATTTCCTGGGGCCACCCAGGAATATATATTTCTTATATAAAGAAAGGCATATTTAGACAGGCACACCGTTAAGTTTGAATGTTTCTGTTAAGTGATAGTTTAAATATCACTTCTCAGGAAATTGTGAATGCTTGGCTTTTGCACAGGATAGAGATAGTTGATAATCCAGCCAAGTCTCCTGTTGATCCATTTTTAAATTTTACTTATCTAATTATTTTTGGTACTGGGGATTGAATCCAAGAGTGCTTTACCACTGAACTACATCCCCAGCCCTTTTCAATTTTTGAGACAGGATCTCGCTAAGTTGTGTAGAGCCTCCCTAAGTTGCTGAGGCTGGTCTCAAACTTGTGGTCCTCTTGCCTCGGTCTCCAGAGCTACTGGGATTACATGTATGCACCACTGCACCCAACTGATAGCATATTTTTAGCTTGATAACAAAAATTTTCTATAGGTTCTACCACAATGACAATAGGATGTACCGAGAAATCCTGTTTAACTAAATGTCCTATTCAGGTGACATCTTTCACTTCTAGGAGAGAAATCTTTCTTCAGGGTGGGACTGCAGTCAAATTCAGGTGATTAATCTAGGAACAAAAGCTCCAGAAGTTTTAGATAATTGTGTATACTTCTCAGGTATGAGGCAGGAATCAGGAGTGGCTGGCTGGCTGTCCTTAGAAATTTGTAGTCCTGGCTGTGGTTGTGGCTCAGTGGTAGAGTGCTTGCCTAGCATGTGTGAGGCACTGGCTGAGCACGTCTCCCTTCAAGATATCCTTTTTTTTTTTTTTGGTTGAGGGGTAACCAGGGACTGAACTCGGGGGCACTCGACACATAAAATAAGTTAAGAAAATAAAGTTATAGGGCTGGGGTTGTGGCTCAGTGGTAGAGTGTGAGTCTAGCATGCATGAGGATCATTAGTTAAAAATCAGCCTCACCAGGCTGAAATTGTGGCTCAGCGGTAGAGCGCTCGCCTAGCACATGCGAGGCCCTGGGTTCGATCCTCAGCACCACATACAATAAATAAAATAAAAATATTGTGTCCAACTACAACTAAAAAATAAATATTTAAAAAAAATAAAGTTATAGAAAAAAGAAAAAAAAAAGCTCTTTCTGGGGCTGAGGTTGTGGCTCAATGGTAGAGCGCTCACCTAGCAGGCGTGGGGCGCTGGGTTCCATACTCAGCATCACATAAAAATGAATAAATGAAGTAAAGGTATTGTGTCCAACTACAACAAAATATTTTTTAAAAAAGCTCTTTCTTAAACAAAAGAAGAAAATAAATTTGTAGTCCTGGGGCTAGGGATATAGCTCAGTTGGTAGAGTGCTTGCCTCGCATGCACAAGGCCCTGGGTTCAATTTCCAGCACCAGAAAAAAAAAAAAAAGAAATTTGTAATCCTGATATTAGTATCAGTCCCATTTTGCTCTGCTGGGAGGGTTTGTCTCTGGCTCTGTCTTGTTTTTTTTGTTTGTGTGTTTTCCTCCCTCATCCCTCATTAACTTTTTTAGAGTACTTATCAGATCAT